ATTGCCCCGGGCATGCGCGTCCGGGACGACGACCTGTATCCGATCAAGGTAGACTTTGTGCGATGGTCGGCGGTGTGGGAGGAGAAAGGAAAGTACAGAAGTGAAGCGGCAGAGGAGTTCAGCAAGGAAAACGACACCACCGTCGCCAAAATCGTATGGCTAAGCGACCAAGAAAACCCGAAACAGTACGGATCGATGGCGGTCTACTTGACCAAGGCTAGTGACGCCAGAAGGCTATTTCCACGCCGGTGGAGAGTCTGGAAATACGGGAGTGTTCAAGCCCCAGTCTCGGACACATCAGTGCTTCAAATGCAGCAGATCGTCCGACACAAGGCAGAGAAATGCGAGAACAGCCTAGTTTGTGGGCGGTGCGCTCAGGAGGGCCACCACCACAAGGAGTGCCGCGAGACAGTACTGAAGTGTGTTCCCTGCGGTGGTCCGCACGAATCCTTCAGCAAGAAGTGTCCGAAGCTCTACCCATCTCTTCATGAGTAGAAACCTTCGGATCCTTCAACTGAATGTAAGGAAACAGGATGCAGTGCATGAAAGCCTGATGAACGACGAGCAACTGCGAGACTTCACAGTCATAGCGGTTCAGGAGCCATGGGTGTGGAAGAGAGAGGGCAAGATCTTGACAGTGCCGATGCGGCATAGTAGGTGGACGAGGATGCTTCCGACGGCGTGGAGAGAGGAGGGACGATGGGGGATCAGGAGTATGCTGTGGGTGAGTAAGGAGGTTGAGGCGGAGCAAGTGCCGATACCGTCACCGGACATGACCGGAGCCATCCTTCGACTCTCGGGTCGTCGAGTGCTTGTTGTGTCGGTGTACGTTCCGGCACAAGAGCCTGAGATGCTTCGACAGGCGTGTTCCCTGTTACGGCAGGCAATCTCAGGAGCCAGAAGCGGCACGGGCGAGGTGGTGGATGTGGTCCTCATTGGAGACTTCAATCGGCATGACCAACTATGGGGAGGGGACGACGTCTCAGCGAACAGACAAGGAGAGGCGGATCCGATCATCGAACTGATGAGCGACTTCTCCCTCAGTAGTCTCCTGCCAAGAGGGACGAAGACGTGGCATAAGAACGACGCGGCAACGACGATTGACCTGTCCATCGCGTCGGAGGAGTTGGCGCGGATGATGATACGATGCGCGGTGCACGAGACGGACCATGGCTCAGGCCATCGAGCGATTGAGACAGCGTTTGAAATTGTGACGCCGAACACTGACAGCAAGGCCCGACTTCTGTTCAAGAACGCTCCATGGAAGGCGATCAATGCCAGGATTGAAACTACACTACAACGTGTTCCCTCGGGAGGTACCGTGCAGCAGCAGACGGACAGGCTCATGTCGGCAGTAGTGGAAGCAGTAGAGGCGTTGACGCCCACAGCTAAACCGTCTAGGTATGCAAAGAGGTGGTGGACGGATGACCTCACTCAGCTGCGCCGGATCCACACATTCTGGAGGAACCGAGCGAGGGCGGAGAGACGGGCCGGCCGCTGTCCGCCGGATCTTGAGGAGCGGGCACGGGCATCGGCGAAGCAGTACCACGACGCAATCCGACAACAGAAGAAGCACCACTGGCATGAGTTCCTGGCCGACGATACGAACATCTGGAAGGCAGCCAAGTATCTATGCGCCGACAAAGGTGCCTCATTCGACAAGATCCCCCAGCTTACCAGAGCAGACGGTTCAAAGACGGAAGAGACCGGGGAACAGGCGGAGGAACTGTTGACTGCGTTCTTCCCTCCGCTTCCGGATAGGATCGACGACGAGGGGCAACGTCCACAACGGCCGCCCGTGCCCTTCCCCGACATCACGTTAGAAGAGGTGGAGAGACAGTTGTTCGCATCGAAATCGTGGAAAGCACCCGGAGAGGACGGGTTGCCAGTAGCCGTGTGGAAGCAGACGTGGCCCGCAGTGAAACATCGGGTTCACGCGCTGTTCCAAGCCTCGGTGGAGGCGGGAGAACTGCCTAAGCAGTGGAGACACGCAAAGATCATCCCGCTGAAGAAACCGAACAAGGACGACTACACCATCGCGAAGGCCTGGCGACCGATCTCGCTGTTGTCGACACTGGGGAATGTGCTTGAGTCGGTGATGGCCGAGAGGATATCGCATGCTGTCGAGACATACGGGCTCCTGCCTACAAGCCACTTCGGGGCTCGGAAGCAGCGATCGGCAGAGCAGGCTCTGGTTCTGCTCCAAGAGTACATCTACAGAGCATGGAGGAAGAGAAAGGTCCTCAGTCTGGTCAGCTTCGACGTCAAAGGCGCAAATAATGGGGTGTATAAGGAGAGACTGCTTCAGAGACTCGAGGCGAGAGGGATCCCGGAAAAGCTGGTGGCGTGGGTGGATGCGTTCTGCTCGCACCGGACAGCAAGCATTCAGGTCAACGGCCAGGACTCGGAGGTCCGCCCCCTGCCTCAAGCTGGGCTACCTCAGGGTTCACCTCTGTCGCCTATTCTGTTCCTCTTCTTCAACGCCGACTTGGTCCAGCACCAAATCAACGAAAATGGAGGTGCACTAGCATTCGTAGACGACTATACGGCATGGGTCACCGGACCGTCACGAGAGGCGAACCGACAGGGGGTCCAGGACATCATTGACCGAGCCCTCGACTGGGAACGACGAAGCGGGGCGACATTTGAAACAGACAAGACGGCCATTATACACTTTACACGGAACTGGCGCCAGCCAGAGGACTGGTCCCCTTTCAGTATCAAGGGGGACATCGTCCGGCCCAAAGACCAGGTAAAGATTCTAGGCGTGATCATGGACACCAAGCTCCGCTTCAAGCAACACGTGGCAGAAGCGGCATCGAAGGGCCTCGAAGCCGTGCTGGAGCTCAGACGACTCAAGGGCTTGTCACCGTCAACGGCGAGACAGCTCTTCGTGGCGGCGGTGGCACCCAAAATGGACTACGCATCGATCGTCTGGAAACACACGTGTAACGCAGCCCAGATGAAGGTCATCAACAGGGTGCAGAGGATTGGGGCTCAAGCAGTTGTGGGAACCTTCAACTCGGTGGCTACAGCGGTTGCCGAAGCAGAAGCAAGCATACAGTCAGCCCAGGAACGATTCGAAAGGAAAGCGATCAAATTCTGGGTGCGTCTCCGGACATTACCGAACAATCATCCCCTGCGACATATCAGAGTCAATACTTTCAAGAGGCACATCTCGCCTTTCCAGACCATGGCCGCGGCCTACCGTGACTTGCCCCTGGACAGACTGGAGACCATCAACGCGTTTTCGCTGTCACCATGGGAAAACCGAGTGCAGACGGTGGCTGAAGACGATGGAGACAAGGCAAGCGCAGCGACTAAGACAGGCTGGGCCGCAAAGGTCGCGACAGCTAGTTCGGCAAGAAATGGAGTCGTGGGCTTCGGGAGAGCACTGCATCTCCCTAGGTCACACACGGGAGGCGGCTTTACGACAACGGAGTCATGCACAGTCGGTCTCAGGACGGAGCAGAACCCGTTCACGGCAGAGCTTCAGGCGATGGCGACGGCGTTAGAGTCCCTCTCGGAGAGGATCCGTCACCTTGTCATATACTTGTTTGCCAGCAGCAAAGCCGCCGTGCTAGCAGTAAGCAGACCCCGACAGCAATCAGGCCAGCAAGAGATCCGTCGCATCTACGAGGCTATCAATGTTCTTGAAAACAGAGGCAACAGAGTATCGCTTTTCTGGCTTCCGGCTGGAGTAGAGTCGAAGGTCATCAAAGAGGCCAAGGCAGCGGCCAAGGAGAGTAATACCCGACAAGGAAAAACACCGAAGAGGAAGCCAGCCAGGGCTTACTCAACCACGCTTAGGAATGTGGTACAGAGGGTACAGGAGACGAAACCCGGAATACCAGAGTGGGTAGGAAGCTTCTCAAAGAGAGTTGATACAGCGCTACCAAGAAAACACACGGCAACTATATGACTCATTTTCATGGAAAGAGGCCAGCATCCTGGCTCAACTACGGATGGGGATGGCCAGGCTCAACTGGTACCTGCACCAGATCAGGGCGGCCGCCTCGGATCAATGTACATGCGGACAAGCAACAGAGACGGTCGAGCATTTTCTCTTCCGTTGCACCCAATGGACAGCACAACGCGCACCGATGATCCGACGAACTGATACGCATAGAGGTAACCTGTCATTTTACTTAGGCGGAAAGGCCGCATCAGACCCTGACGACTGGTCACCATGCATGGACGTCGTAAGAGAGACAGTGAAGTTTGCCATGGCAACAGGACGACTCGATATGCAAATCAACCAAACATAGGACAGGAACAGCACAACATCACATCACTAACATTAACCACCGACTAACCCCATACGCACCCTCGTGCCACCGACAGCAGGGCTCGCTTCAGCCGCCGAAGATAGGGACCTGAACACTTGGAGGAAGTGCTCCAAGATGGCCTGCTACTAACCTCACGAGAAAGTGCAATCATCGGAAGGCGTAATCAAAGATGACGCAGACGGAAATGGATTTCATACACGGGGCTTATTTTGAGACTAGGGTAAAAACTCAACAAGGGAAGCAGGTAAGATACATAGACGTTAGAGCCCTTTATGGCTTAGCCAGGGCGTAATAAACTCAGTCAGTCAGTCAATCAGTATATTAGCAAGAGATTGCCTGCAGCAAAGATATCCCATCGAGTGCGGAAAAACGTCAAAAAGAAAGGACCCACCTTGGACCCACTCTTACTCCGCACTTCCGAGACGCTACGTCATTTACCCTTGTGCTTTTTAACCTGCTGTCACCACCAGAACTATCATTTCAACCAGTGTCGCGATGTCTTCTAGTGATTCTGATGCTTCCGGCGCCTCCGCGGCCACCGATACCTCCGTACGGAGCTGTATTTCTGTTGAGATCCTTCCGGAAGACCTCGAAGTCGGCTGTACTCCCGACTGTACGCCGGAGCGGTGCGATAACAGCACAGTCCGGCCCCACGAGCCTCCGGCCGAGCCTGGACGGCCTCTTCTACGAGGTATTTTGAATGATTTGCAGCTACTCAGTGAGAGAACTAAGCCACTGATAAGTCTTCCAAAGCCCGCCTTCAACCACCTGCTTTCCCTTCGAAGTCACCAGCTCCCTGAGCCAGGCAGCTTCCACGGATGTGTCATGGTGGAGGCTCTTCATGGCAGTGACTATAGCCCAGTGCAGTATCGGCGGGACGCTCGCATCCAGACACTGACCTCCCTCCACGTAGGAGCGAATGCAGCGACAAGTTTCCAACGCTGCACGTCGTTCCTGTGAAGCATAATACTCCGTCAGGGATTTGGCACCGTTCTGTGGGCCATGCAGTGCCTCGCAAGGCAGTGAGGCAAGTGTATGCATTAGCGTCAGGAGGGCGAGGTCGAACAGTACCAGCTCAACTACCATTTTGCGGCTCAGAACGTCCCCACTGATCAGGGATGTTGCAGAGTCACTTCCTGGTGAGTTACTCGTCGATATGACACCGGAAAAGATTGTGCAAGTTCCAGATGCTCCCCTCGCCGTTTCGGCATTCCATCTTTTTCTCCAGTTGTAGAGCTGAGCGTAGAGAGCACAACCATGGTCTTCGACTTCGCGCACCTGCTGCGTGGCTGTTGCAGCATCAAGGTCCCAAGTCGCTAATATACCCTCTCGCTTCTCCAAAAGGACCGTGCAGTCTGCCAGAACATCGTACAAGTCCTGTTCCTGCAAGTCTTTTGGCGAAGCGCCAACTCTCATGGCACTCTTCCACTCTGGTCTTGCGAGTATGCAAGGTTTCCTGAGTAGCATGGATGCGAATAGCACCATGTAACGCACGCCGATGCGAAATCCATAAGACTTACGGGGCCAGAAAGTCCCCGGATCTTGGAGATCTAGGAGTTTCTGCAGTCCCATCATATGGTTCAGGTAGTTGTTCTTGCCGCTCGGCACCAGACACTCGGAAATGGCCAAGGTGGCGACGGCGACGATGATCTCGTCACTGGCGTATTGTAATGGGTCTGACAATGCTTCGTTGAGCCGCTTCAAGGCCAAGCCGTACATGGCGTAGCCGCGGCGGGCGATGTCGACTTGTCTGTGCTGCTCGCCAAACAGAATAGTGGCAAAGCTTAGCAGAGCCTGGTGCGATACTGGACGGTTGGCCACGGTACTTCCGCACCGTAAGATGCCGAGGGGCTCAATATCTTCAATGACTGATACAATGAAGCCACCGCGTAGCAGATGACTCCGAGTGTAACAGATGAAGACATCAGGTCCAATGTCCCAGAGAGGTCTTTGGTGAAGCGGCAGCGAATCGGCAAGTTTGGAAACGCTCCCACCGCCGACAGTGGCTGAGCCTGTCCGTTGGACAACTTGAAGGTGTTCGGAAGAGGCCCAAACTTTCGCGTGGATGAACGTGGTGGCTCTCGGGCCATCGCATTGGAAATTCCATCTTTGACACCGTTGGCAGATGGGCCGAGTTTCGTCTTCAATGCCACTTGCTTAGAAAGCGTTCTGCTCCTCGGTACCGGAACACTTACCACACTTGACGCGTCTTTTGCGGCAGATTGAGCAACCCTTTGACCGTCCGCCTACGTTCACCATGGGTCCTGGTGGCCTGCCTCGGTGTCGGCAGTCCGGCTGTGATAGCTGAGGAGGCAGTTTAGCTTGGTAACGCCCTGAGATCGTGAACAGCTAACCTTAAAAGCGAGTCCGTATCAGACCAACCTGTTTCCCATGCAATGAGTAGGCCCGATTGATTTGGCTTGGTACACGGGGTCTTTCAGAGATAGGTAGCCTTGTAGGTGTCGAAGAGACCTTTCACGACAGGTAGCAGTCAAGATACATGCTCGCTTACGACCACCCCGGCCTTTATCCGACAACCAACCAATTGTTGCTGGGCGGCTTGTGGGAAAGGATGTGCACGCACAGGCACCCACGTCCACTTAAGTTGAGGTATTTCGCAAGAGCCAATCATCATACCTCTGCTTATCTGGAGTAGATATCGTGATGCGGTCTGGATTGTGCTGCTCCAATTTGGAAAAGTGGTAGCTTGATCTCATGTCGGGCTGATACTCTCGCAGTCCGTTCACCACATCGGACAGGGGCTTTAAGCGCGATGTTTCTCATAAGGCGTATTATTATCACGACCTTGAGAGGTCATTGTCGAGAAGAGAATGCAAAAGCCATCCGAGTTCATTTCTTACGTATCAAAAATTTGTCGGCCGTCAAATTTCAAAGCCAGCGTTTGAACCAAGCAAGCACCTGAGCCTCCACACCCTCCAGAGCTGCTCTCTCCAGTGGGTCGTCGGGATTGCCTCGCACACCGAAGCCGTGACGGCCAGGCGCGTAAACCTTGTGCTCCGTCTCGGCGACGATCTCCCCGGCCATGGCTGCCTGTGCATGAATCTCCTCCACCTTGACCTTCTGCTCGAAGCTCACCATTGTATCCTCGACCCCCCAGCCGTAGCTTGTAGGGACTTTCGTCTCCTCGACGTCATCTGGAAGCACCAGGTTGCTCGGGTGCAATGCCACCACCGCATCGACCAGTGGGACCTCTGCGTCGTCAATCTCAACGGCATGGGCTTTCATCCCAGTCCGGATGGCGTACTTGCCGCCCCAGCAGAACCCGACCATGCCGATCTTCTGGGTCGTCGGAGTGCTGCGCCTCAGCTTCTGAAGGAAGTCGATGCACACCTTCTCTGTCGGACCTTGCCTGTGCCTGGTCATCCACGGAGGAATGAAGGCGTACTGGCGAGAAGGCCTAGATACTTCGAGAAAGTCGACTGATTTGCCGCGTCGACGGGGATGAGCACTTCGGCCATCGCGAGGTGGACCGGGTCGCCCTCGAAGAAGTCTGGCAGGTATACCAGATACTCCCCGCTGCGGGCGTAAGCGTCGGCGATTAGCTTGTTATTGGGCAGTGCCAGGCCGAAGACATCGGAGTACACGACGATGATGGCACGCGGGTTGGTTCGGTTGCCGACGACGTAGGTGTTGAGGCCATGGATCAGCTCCTCTGTCCCTTGGGGCTGGCCCTTGTGGATAGACCCCTGTGGAAGACGTGTTTAGCTGAGGTCGCGAGTAGCAACACCTTGCAGTGATTGTTGGAAACACACCTTAATGCACTCGTTACATGTGGACGCCATGGCTGGACTAAAGGTGGCTTGTGCTGCAAATGAACTTGGGAAGACTTGGTGTGGAGTGCAGGTGGTGAGGAAGAGGTTCGACACCTCAGGGTTGCGCAGCGAGCTCTTTATGCATGATCGTTCGAGCCGAAATGCTGTGAACAGAACGGTCACTCTTTTGCAGCTTCTGGCACCGAACCGCGGAGTTGGATGGGTGCTTCTCGGCGGTTGGTTCCCGGGGTGCTGCACTTCACACCACCGAGGATGAGCAGGCATCTTTACTTTGGCTCAACGGCCTGCATTGCAGTGGGCTTGCCAAACGGGCTGATGGGCTACTAGGGGTTGACAGGGATACTCGTGCAATGCACCATACCTGTCCTAGCGCGGGAGCTTCATCACATCAGGGCGTCTCCCAGAGCACCTTGACCTCGCAGAGGGCCGCCATGCGCGGTCTAGACCTTGGAAATCTTTTCAATTAACTCATCGACCAATTGAGCCTAGCTGGGCATCTACCACGAGCTGCCACCGTGAGGACGGTTTCTTCAAATGGAATGGGGCTCAACATGTTGTGTTTTAAAGGGTAGTGTAGTTGTAGGCCTTCCCAACACTGCAAATTGCACCCAATTGAGCAAAGCCGACTACAGATTAATCAATGCGAGCCTTGCCCCGCCAGTGTAGACCTGAGTGTAAAATTGTTCGAATCCCCCAGTCACCGAGATGATCAGTGTCCGTCCCACAGCATCTTTGGCCCAAATGGCGGCGGTTGGGGCCAGAAGAGTCGTACTGCCCGGTCCGCCGACGATCGTCTTCGGCTTGGAGCCGTACGCATCCCTCCTGACGAGACCCAGTGCGTTATTGCCCTGCTCTGCAACGTAGAGATCCCCAGTTACATCATCGACGATGAAGTCGTCGACAATCGTCTCAAAAGCAACGATCTCCGAGGTGCCTTCCAATCGAGACTCCTCCCCAGTGGCTTTGATTCTGGCCACTATCTGCTGGTTCGTGTTGCTGAAGTAAAAGAAGCCTTGCGAAAGCTTGACACCGTTGACACCAAAGAGAACACCTGCGGTCGAATTCGGTTTCAGAAGAGGATCGTCGAAGTAGATGGTGAGCTCGAGTGTTTCGGTGTTGAAACGGTACACAAAGCCGCCTCTGTTGTCTGCGATAAGCACATATGGAGTGTTGGGCACGGCGATCATGCCGTTGGGTTGAGAGATGTCCCCTAGAGGAGCAAGTTCCTTGACGATCGGTTTGCCGCACTCGCTGAATGACAAGCGGTGGATCGCGTACGACCCGGGCACGGGAGTGAATGATTGGAATGAGAAATTGCCGGTGAGAACAAAATAGACGTCGGTTTCTGACGATGCAGCTATGCCGCAGGCGCCGCTTGTGTTTGTAAAGGTGTGCAGCAGCTTGGGTGTCGAGTATTGAGAAACGTCAACTTCGTAGAGGTAGGGGAACGTATAGACGGTGGCCAGGGCAGATCCGGAGGGCCGCAGCGCGAGGTTTTCGACCTCGGAACCCAAGGGGAAGTCCTGGGTAATTTCAACTGAAAGACTCAACACAGCAGGGAAGAGAAGGGCCGCAGGCCACAGTCTGAAGATGCTTGGAAACATTTTGAAAGGCTTTGAATACCTTGAGAAGGAATGGATTGGTATTTTTTCGTCCTCCAGGTTAAATGCCTCGTCCTTATAGATGTCTTCCATTTACCAGCTCTCTCGTCCACTTCACGCCGCTACTAGGCTACCAGTCTGACCAGGTAAGCTGGGCATCGGTTATGCACTGGTGAGGCGTGTTTTCCTACCTGCCTAATAATATCACGCAGTGAATCTCTCGTCTCTGGGATCTATAGGCAAGGAATCTCGACATGCAGATCATTCCAGAAGGACTAGCGCCGGGGACCCAAGCCCTGTGTCGACTAACCCGTTAAAGTACATTGCGCGAGTAACCCTGTTATCCATCTCTGTGGGTGCCCGCCAATCTCAGCGAGATCATCTCAAGAGGAGCATGATCCCATTAGGTCAAGTGAGTCTTGGCGACAGGTGCCTTGTTCCATGTGGTATGCGTTGTCCGATAAGCACACACCTAAGTTCGCTCGCTCATAGTTTGGCGCCATGATCGCAGAGCGGAAAAGCGCGCTAGTCCCAGACCATTTAGCCAGTGTGACAGGTTGTATTGGATGAAGTAGTGAAACAGGTCTTTCTAGTATGTTGGTCTTGTGCGAATTGCAACTAATGATTCGTATTGTGTAACGTACATGATGAGCGAGTGAGACAGACAAGCGAGTCAGACACTTCCTTATCGTACCTTAAAGGTCAGTTTTTGTACCATACATTAAAAATCGACTATCCCATCGGGTGCGGATGGACAGCACTTTCGCCAAGACCACGAAATACCCACTTTTCCCCACTCTTTCCCCGCGTTGAAAGGGGTACTTGACAATACGTCACTTATCCCTATGTTCATCTGCCTATTAAGTCAAGTCACCCACTTCTGGGCACCCCACCCATGTGGGCACCCCAAAAATCCCTCAACACCATGACCAGCCTCCCACTTCAAATTATCACAGCATTTTCAACCCTTATCCAAATCACTTTATTTTTTGTAGATACCTTCTTTTATACCCTATGGGTCAGTATACTGAGTATGAGGTTAACAAGGCTCTTAGGGATATCGCCAACGGCGTCCCTATCCAGGCAGCATCTAGGAAATAGGGCATACCTCGGTCAACACTTCAGAATCGCCTCAAAGGTATCCAACCTAGAGATATCGCATTTGCTGACCTCCAGCGGCTCTCTGTTAGTCAGGAGGCTAAGCTGGCCAATTGGGTACAGATACAGGCTGACCTTGGGCTTGCGCCAACGCATCAGCAAGTCAAGGTCTTTGCCCAGCGTATCCTCTATGCCATGGGAGATACCCAGCCTCTAGGGAAGAGATAGGTAGATGCCTTTGTACGAAGAAACCCATCTATCAAGGTCCAGAGAAGTCGATCTATTGATTCTAGACGCGTTAATAAGGCATCTACTGAGGTTATCAGGGACTAGTTCAAACATCTCGCAATCCCATCAATATTAGCCATCCAGCCAGCCAACAGATACAACATGGATGAGACAGGTATCCTTGAGGGTCAAGGAGCAAATGGGCTAGTGCTGGGCAGGGCAGAGACTAAGTCTATACGGAAAAAGCAGCCTGGATCGCGAGCCTGGGTATCTATTATCGAGTGTATCTCAGCTAAGGGCCAGGCACTGCATCCTCTTGTGATATATAAGGGCAAAACAGTCCAGCAGCAGTGGTTTCCTCTAGATCTTGGCCCGTACGATAGATGAGAGTTTACAGCAACAAAGAATGGATGAACAACTGATAAGACTGCTGTTAAGTGGCTGCTAAAGGTCTTTTTGCCGCAGACTGCCCCCTCCCAGCCTGATTAGGCCAGACTGCTAGTCCTAGATAAGCATAGGAGCTATACAACAACAGAATTTATGTAGCAATGCTATATTAATAACGTCTATCTGTTATTCTTGCCGCCACATACCTCCCATGTCCTTCAGCCACTAGATCAGTCAGTCTTTAGCCCTGTTAAGGCAGCCTATTGCAACAGGCTCTAGCTTAACCTTAACCAATAGAACAATTCAACTATGTAACAGGCTTTGCCTTGGCCGAACGTCCGGCGACCCCCCGGCGATCACCCCGGCATTCTGCCCGGCGTGACCGCCCGATAGCTTAACTACCTACGTGGCGCCCCACTCGATAGTTCTCTTCCTTTTCCTTCCTCTCCTTAGCTTTAGATAAAAACTCAATTGAGCTACCTACCTGTCGAACCAAACTCTAGGCCTAGCCCTTCACATATCTAAAGCTCCGTCCTATGACCTGGTCAGTCTTCGCTGGCGAATTAGCGATGGAGGACCAAAGTGGTAGTGGTGGCCAGCGGGCGTCTCTAGAGGCGCTGATACAGGAAGCCATGGCACCACTTCACGCACGGATCGCCGAGCTTACAGCAGAGCTCGAACGGCGAAGCGGTGGCGAAACGCCACCTAGCAGCTTCGCCGGGAGATCCGGAACGGGGCCGTTATCTCCGCAAGGAAATGCCCCGGAAGCCACGGCGACCGCCCACCGAGCAGTGGGCGGGGAGCTGCCGAGGCGGAAGCCACTCACGAACCCACCGAAGTTCTCGGGTAAGAGGCGTGAGTACCCTGCTTGGGCACAGCAGATGAGGGACGAGATCGAGTACGATCGTGCGTTCTACCAAAGTGGCGCGGAAGTCTGGTATCTCATCAACTCGTGCCTGGACGTCAACCCACAACAGGTTGTGGCTACGTTCTACGCCCTAGGGGGGGCGGGAGGTCGGCGAGACCCTAGCGACTTTATGGCGTACCTCGACCGAACCTATAAGGACCCCAACATTCAGCCCCGAGCTGCTTCTCTAATCCATACGATGCGACAGAAAGATAACGAGTCTCTAATGACCTTTCTCCCGAAGTTCGAGCGAACCCTCGCCGACGCAGGCGGCGCCGCCTGGCCCGACGCCGTACAGATCAACCTACTTGAACAGTCCCTTTCGCCCCGTCTTCGGGACTACCTCATCACCGTGTCGCTACCAGACACCTACCCTGAGTGGCTATCTCGCGTACAGGAGGTAGCCTGGAAGCTCGAACGAACCCAGACCGGCCCCCGATCACGTCACGAGAAGGCGCCAACTCCCCGTTGGGACGCCGATGGCGATATCAAGATGACTGGAGCCGTCAAGGTTAGAGCGACTACTAAGCCTACGACTGAAGCTAGTAGTAGCTCGAGCGACGAGGATACTCGTCGATGCTACGCATGTAATAAGAAGGGGCATATTAGGAGGAACTGCCCGAGGGGGTAGAAAGAAGACTAAGAAGACTAAGATGTCTGTCGCTAAAGTCAGAAAGGATGGAGAGACGGTCGAGCGAAGCTCTAGCGAAAGCTCGTCTACCGAGTACCACACCGACGACGCGTCGGGAAAAGAATAGCTCTGGTGCGAAAGCGGGCACCAGAGGCAACTAGGGAAGAGATAAAAGGGTGGCAAGAGGCCAAGAAACACCAAAGCAGCTCATCAGCAGTCATAAACGTCCGGGTAAATAAAGGATTCGTTACCCAAGCACTTGTCGACTCTGGATGTGATACCTATGCAATGGTGGACGCCAAATTCGCCCGACGTCTTCGCCTACCGTACGTCGACCGTTCGCCGAGGACATTTAGCGGATTCACCAGCCAAGTAGGGGGAGTTCCAGCCCCGGGCGTGGTAGTATTCACCTTGGAATTAAGTGGCTACGTACAGAAGATTTACGCCTACGTAGTCAAGGGCCTGGACCAGGATGTCTTTCTAGGTAACCCCTGGTTTAAGGCGAATCGCATCATTTATAACCCGGCGAAGGAACGACTATTCCATGGGAAAGGGGGAGTGACTATCTACATGGCTGGACAGGAGGAACCCGAGAGGGTTAGGGAAATTCGGTCTGGAAGATTCCTAGAGGCCGCCGGGTTCAGGGCGATCTGCCGGCGAATAGCCCGGGGACACCGGGTAATCGAGCACATCCGAGCTATTAGCATCGCTGATATCGACCGGGCGCTCCAGCCCAAGAAGAAGGTAAACCCTGCCGACTGGGTCCCTAAAGACGTCTTAGAGGAATTCGGAGCACTCTTCGACCCCCAGAAAGCGTACCCGTTACCACCCCATCGGCCAGGCATGGACCACGAAATCCCTATCGAACAGGGACCAGACGGTCGTGAATCGCCACTGCCTTGGGGTCCGTTATACAGCATGTCGCGAGAGGAGCTCCTAGTGCTTAAGAAGACGCTCCAGGACCTCCTGGATAAGGGGTTTATCAGAGCAAGCAGCTCCTCCGCCTCAGCACCAGTCTTGTTTGTACGGAAGCCAGGTGGGGGAATACGGTTCTGTGTAGACTACCGGGCCTTGAACGCCATTACGAAGAAGGATTGCTACCCTCTCCCCTTGATCTCGGAGACCCTTCGCCGGGTCAGCGCCGCTAAATGGTACACCAAACTCGACGTGGTGGCTGCCTTCCACAAGCTACGAATAAAGGAAGGAGACGAGCCCAAGACAGCGTTCCGAACTCGGTATGGACTATTCGAGTGGCTGGTCTGCCCCTTCGGCCTCACAGGCGCACCCGCAACCTTCCAACGCTACGTCAACAGTACCCTACAGGAGTTCCTTGACGATTTCGTTACTGCTTATATCGACGACGTCTTGGTATATACTAGCGGCTCGAAAGAGGAACATAAAGAGAAGGTTCGCCGTGTACTCGCCGCCCTTTCGGCAGCGGGTCTGAACCTCGACCCTACCAAATGCGAGTTCTCAGTCAAGACCTTCAAGTACGTTGGCTTTATGGTTACTGCTGGACAGGGAATCTCATGTGACCCTGAGGAGTTGAGAGCTATTGCGGAATGGCAGGCCCCGGAGACTGTGAAAGGGGTGAGGAGTTTCCTGGGATTCGCTAACTACTACCGAGTATTTATACCGAACTTCGCTGAGATTGTCCGTCCACTCACTGAACTTACGAAGAAGACCGCTGTATTCCACTGGGGAAGGCCATAGGAGGAGGCTTTCCAACAACTAAAGTCGATGTTCAGCAAAGCCCCGATACTACGACAGTTCGATCCTGAAGGGAAGACTTCTGTTGAGGCCGACTGCTCCGGGTATGCCCTGGGGGGCGTACTGACCCAAGAAGATTCGTCCGGGAGACGCCAGGCTGTCGCCTACCACTCGCAGAAGTTGACCCCCGCTGAATACAATTACCCTATTCACGACAAGGAGTTATTAGCTATACTTAGCTGCTTACGTGCCTGGAGGGCTGAACTACGGAGTGTAGGCTCGTTCAAGGTCCTGACAGACCATAAGAGCTTAGAGTACTTCATGAAGAAGCAGAAGTTAACAGAACGGCAGAGTAGGTGGGCTGAGGAACTTGCCCAGTACGAATTCTACTTGGAATACCGACCCGGGCGAGAGGCTGTAGTCCCGGACGCGTTATCCCGCCGAGAACAGGATGCACCGAAAGGATGGGAGGATGAGAGAGAGCTAGGTCGGGTGGTCCAAGTTATCCCGACCTCTGCCCTCGGGAGCGGCGAAAGCATGGCGAACAGGCCCCGAGTAGCTCGGGCTACCCAGGACCCTCCACCGCGTATGGTCGTCTTTGAAGAACACCCTGAGCTCCAGGAGCTCTGGGACAAGACGCTAGCACAAGATGATACCTATTTACAAGCTTTCCAAGCTGTCGCCCACCGGGAGAGAGCCTTTCCCCCTTCACTGGGTCTGAAGGTACAGATTGGGGAATGCTCTATAGACACTACGAACCGACTCCTATTCCGCGACCGCATATGGGTGCCAGGCGGGCGAGACCCTCGTTCGCCACATCGTTGGCGCCATTACCGAAGGCGCTCAGGCAGAACGCGACAGTGGTGATGGCGAGGATCCACCAGTATTGCGGCAGAGCTGGTGACATACTGGCAGACACAGATTTTGGTGTGCGTGCTACTGCGGGGCAGACTGAATGAAGAGAGTAACTCAAAGGGGAGAGCGGGAAGAAGTTGATAGTGAAACATGTCTAGAACGGACAAAAAGTCGGGATGCCATCGAGGCTTATGTAGGAGTGCTCCCGTCTCTACCAACATATTCCGCAGCATGGCAAATTTGTTGGTAGGCGTACAAACAAGAAAATTCCTCGGTAGTCCACCGAGAACGGTCAGATCGCCGGACAGTTCGAAAGGGCGCGGCCAGAGCCAATTACGGGTATTGGTCGAACTGCGATCTGGCAGAGGAGCATCTGCTTGGGACAGATACAATTCAAGGGACGCTCAAGCTGGGTAGAAGAGCACGTGGTGGAAGTAGATTCTTTCACTGGAATGGATTGGATAGTTCGCGGGAGGCTAATTCAATGGTGTCATCGAGACCCCGCCCGCCCAGAACGAAGGACGTGGCGGTTGGGGTTAGCCTCTCCTCTTTCCTTCAAATTCAGGACACATCCTCTTCAAGCGGCGAGATTACTAGCATCAACACTCCGCCCTCGTGCTCATGTCTTCAACTATTCTGCGTCGGCGACCGTCATTCTCCCTTATGGCATTGCGGATGAGCAGAATTTACGCACACAGCAAGTCGGAATCCTCCCGATCCCTCCATGATTAAACGGAACGAGAACCTAGGCTCTGCAACCTCGCGGAACTGGCCAGTGGCGAGGGGGGGGGGGGGGACGACATGGGACAGGAGATTGTCAGCCCAGCAACGAAGTAGAGGCTTCCAGCGGCCTTGGCTTCCAGCGGCCTAGGCATCGTCTCTCGGCTTCCACCCCCACGCAAAATTTAGTCACCAAGACGAGCACGAATCCCGGCCAGAAGTTCTCTAGCGCCTGAACCATTCGCCTCTGCACCTTGTTTGACATTGAAACATGGAAGTAAACTTGCCTCTCAGCGTTACCAGTGAAATTTCTGACAAATCGAATGATGCACCAGTATTCAAGATCTTGGAGGTACAGCGTGTCACCCACAAAGAAGCGGAAAGGTACTGGCGGAATCGTCTAACTCCAGCCTTGATCGACTAGCAGCACTGCTCGCCCAGAACTGTTGTGCGAGTAAGATTTCCACTACATGCCTGGTTTCCACAGGTCCTTCGGTCACGGCAACACGAGAGCCCTGCTCTAAAGCAGCTATTGTCGAATATTCTATCATCTATATCACATGGCTACACGACCGGATGGAACAAGGAACCGGCTGGTCATAGCCGGTACGCAAAGACGGCCGCGTAGCGAGCCTGTGGCCATGTCACTTGGATGGAGATTGTGGTTGTGCAACTTGTCGAATACAGAAGCTGTGTATATGATACCCTGAAGCCTTGTCAATCTCAAATCCTTCCAATGCTCCCCCGAGGACGAAGCATGCGGTCGTTCGGATGTGCAGCTGATTTTCTGGCTGCCACTCAGGTACCCATCTAGGCAAAATTCAGTGATGGGATGTCGTCCCGTATCCTCGATGTCCCTGCGCGAGGGAGTGACATCCCACCCTGATGCGATTGGCTCAGCACGCAACCACACTAAAATCAGCCAACGCCCGCTAGTCTGCATTTGTGGCTGGCCGGGAGGGGTCTACGTGGAAAGTAGCCGGTGTCCAATCAGGATTGGGATTCGACCCAAGGGCTGTCTCTACTGCACGCATCCTTGGGCCCGGTCCAATGAGCTTTTAGCAGTGACACACTCCTTTCACGTCACACCTCCGGTACCCGTCCTCGTTGGGAGTTCCTTCTCGAGGCGAGATGAGCTCGCGGTCAGTCACCTTTGGGGGCATTTAGCTCACTTCCTCAGATTATTCTGTAAGCCTACTAATACAAATCCTGCCGTGCGGAACACATTCATGAAACCTTCAACGCCCTTGATCTCTTCGACACCCTGCCATGGGAGATACACAGTCTTGGACCACTCGCATGGACCGAGGTCCTGTCCACATGGAGCTCAATTTCGGCATTGAGGGTGCCTCTCCGTTCAATTCGGGCCCGCAAAGTGTCTGCTTTGTGCGACCGGGCGACAAGTTGAAGGGGATCTGCCGTATCTCGACGGTGCTCCCCTTGCATGATAACTGGTTTGAGGCTTCACTACAGGGTAAAATCTGTTTTCATGTTTACAATACCATTAAGATTCAGGGATATGACATCGAACATTCGAGGCTTGTACTAATTAATTCCACATACAGGCCTAGAGTCGGTTTTAGCCCACAGCGTGAGCATATCGCCACAGCAGAGCCATCGAGAAGAGTTCAGCGCCGACAGAGTTGAGTCCGAAACCGCTCAAAGGACTGGCGTGTTTTATTATCTAACCTGCTAACATGACTTGCTAGTTCCTA